GGGCCCCGAGCGCGCCCTGCTCGCCTGGCGCCTGCCTGCCGGCCTCTCCCATCGCGGCCCCTTCCCGCCGTCCCGGACCCCCGGCTTCCTCGCTGTGAGGCCCGCCTCACCACCACTCCCCTCCCTCACGCGTGCGGTTCCCGCGGCGCCCCTGACTCCGCGGGCGCCCGGCTTGGCTCTCCGAAGTGGGTCCTCACTGCGCTCTCCAGCTCTCCCGGGCTGGGCACCCTTTGCCTTGCCCTTCCCCTCGTTTGTCAGGACTGGGGACATTTCTGCTCCAGGGACCGGGGAGCAGAGTCTGCTGCCCAGCCCACGCGGGGGCAGGCAGTGGCCTACTTTGCGTGGGGTGCCCAGTGCGCCTCAGCGACTTGGAGGGAAGCTGGCCTGGCCTGTGGCTCTGCTTAAACTAGTGACAATCGGGTTCTTTCCTGCAGACTTTGAGGTGTCCCCCCCAACACACGCTACCCAGCACCGACTGTGCCCCCTCCCTCTGGGTTTTTGTGGGTTTTTTTTTTCCCCTACAATGTTGGTTGCTCCTTTGTTCGTGGAGACGGTTCTGAGGACCTGAGACTGGTGTTTTTCAGCACCCGAGGGGACAAAGTTGTCCTGCGAGGCGCAGTCTGCTGTGGGGCTGGTGGAAGCCCCTGGTTGGTTTTTGTTTAGGGTTTGGATCACTTAGAGTCCTTTCGATCATGCTGAGGGGCCCTGATGCTCCGGGGTTGGGAGCTGGTGTCACCTAGTCCACTGGCCGCGTTAACACCCGGGTGGGTCCATACAGCTTCGGGCACTGGAAAGCCAGGCAATGGAGCCCCGCTCAGCCCAGGGAGCTGATGTCTCATCATCGCACCGCGCGCCCCAGAAAGTACGGGGCGCCGCCCGGTGCTGCGGCCGAGGACGTCTGTTTCACCCGGAGCTTCCTTGGTCCAGCCGCCGCGCATTGTTAGGCCAGACACAGAGTCAGGGATTAGCGTATGCAGTCTCTGGGGACCTATGGGCACGGTGGACCTAAAGAGATCTGGGCGGCGTGGGGGCATACTTCGAGGAAAGCCGTTTTATGCTTGGGGAAAAGCCGACGCAGGCCTGGCCACGCGCGGGGAGACCAGCAGCACCGGCCTCATGGCGATCGCTCCTCTGTTATTTGCTTACAGATCAACAAAAAACCACAGTGATCGAAAACGGGGAAATCAGGTTCAACGGAAAAGGGAAAAAGATCCGGAAGCCTCGGACCATTTATTCTAGCCTGCAGCTCCAGGCTTTAAACCATCGCTTTCAGCAGACTCAATACCTGGCCCTTCCTGAGAGAGCCGAGTTGGCAGCTTCCTTAGGACTGACACAAACACAGGTAAATCCCGGGAAGGACGAGTAGTCCTGAATGCTGGCTCCGCTTGCAAATCCAAATCGGGCAGGGAGCACCTGAGGAGGAATTCCTGGCCTAGTCAACCAAGGATAGAAGGAGTTTAATGACAAATGCCTTTGCTCGAGTTGCGCACTTTACCGGGATTCCCAGTTTGGAATAAATGAGCTGGTATTGAATACTGGATTGGATGTGCATATCCACCCCATCCTACCGCCACCCCACCTGAGCCTAGCATCCTTTGATGAACAAATCATATAATTCAATCAAATCTTATTCCAGAGCAAAACAACTTGAAAGTGAACAACCATGTAAGAGAGAAAGATGAACAGCCAGTGAGCAAAATAAGGCCCATCTTAAGGATTCTTTTTTTGAGGGTCCTGGGAAGTAATAGAATTTCAACTCATTGACATAGAAAGAAAACTTACAAAGTGAAATGGGGAGTACAAGTCAGGTAGGCATTGTTTGCCATGGGGTTCAACAAAGGCACCAGTGTACAAACTATCCTAGGATGGGTCAGGTGGACTCTTTTTCTGAAGACTGCATTAAATTCAGTGGTTAAACTATATGACACTGGATGATGCAGGCTATGGTAGCCCCTCCCTCCCAGTAGAATTTGGAGGGGGGACATGGCAGAGTTGAAGATCAAAAAGAAATGCTGTCCAAATTATAGCTGGTAAAAAGCCACAGATAAGAACAGTTGCTGAAATGCTTCAGGCCTACTAATTTGGAAGATGTATGGGACATTTCAGATCTCATAGAAAGGGGTTTAGGTAGGTATATTAGAACCCTGGTTATAAAGCCAGAGTGCAATCATTTGCAGTTTTTGTCTTTGTTGATTAATTCAACTGCTTCAGATCCTAGGTGGGTAATACTCAGGTTTTATGAACTGAATGTTGGGGACTGATGGAATGGTGCTTTAAGACAGATGTTCTTTCAGATCTTTTGTGTTTAGCCTGCTCTCCCTTGCAATTTTGCCACTGAAAATAGTTGAGGTTTGATATGAAGTGATTCCAGCTACTCAATGACTTACTTGTATTATTCCTGAAAACACGGATTCCAGGAATTGTAAAGATAAAGGAAGCAGCACCAAAGATTTCTTTCTTCAAATACAGTAGGTTTGGGAAGTTGGTCCGAATTTGTTCCCTGATTCAGATTTAGCTTTCAGAAGCTTTTAGCAACTACACTAACAAGCCTGTGATGATTGTTGACCACAGTTTGTCTAAGCAACATACAAAGTAGGGAATGGTGGGAGGTACAATGCCTAATCCCTGCAGGAGTATAGAGACATATTTATATCTGGAGACAGATGCTTCATGCATACTAGATGGCATTGCACTGCATTCATAGATATAGTCTATGTATCTGTTTTTAGATTTACAGGCTCTCCTCTTTTCATAGTCATATGCTAACGTACATTCATAGAGGTAACCAGTTTGAGGGGGCTGGAAAAATGTTAAAACCGGCTAGCATATGATATGTTTTCAATTGCATGGCTTTGATCTTTCATCAAACTTGGAGTCCAATGATCTCATTCAGGTTTTCCCTATTTTATTCTCATTTATGCCGTTGTTTAAAACCCAGGCTAGTATGCGACTCAAGGATCAGCAGGACGTTAGGTATCCTGACAAGATATCGAGTGGGTTGAGGGAGGAGGGGTGGTGGAGGATAGAAAGAGGTGGAGGGAGGCGGGACTTGGCTTCTGGCATTGCAGTTTTGTTTTTTGGTTGTTTTTTTTTTTTTTCTAAGATTGCTTCTTAAGCTTGGAGTCATGTTAGAGGTACCCATTCCATGTTTGTCTGGCCTCATGAGTGCTATGTTTCTTCCAGGTGAAGATATGGTTTCAGAACAAGCGCTCTAAGTTTAAGAAACTGCTGAAGCAAGGCAGTAACCCTCACGAGAGCGACCCCCTCCCGGGCTCGGCAGCCCTGTCACCGCGCTCGCCAGCACTGCCTCCAGTGTGGGACGTTTCAGCCTCGGCCAAGGGTGTCAGTATGCCCCCCAACAGCTACATGCCAGGCTATTCGCACTGGTACTCCTCACCACACCAGGACACGATGCAGAGGCCACAGATGATGTGAGTTGTCTGAGGGAACTCCCTAGGGGAACATCTGAACAAGACAAGGAGGATCCGTACTTGTTTGCATCTGCCAAACCGAGCCGAAGGAGCAGGTTCGGAGAACTCGTGCGTGTGGCCAGAAGCCAGCTGGGCTCTCTCTTTTCTCTCCCTTTCTTTCTCCCCCTCTCTCTTTTTCTCACTATTAACTAATTTTTTATACCTACTTACCTTTCCTCCATTTTATTTCTTCTTCCTTTCCTCTTTCCTTCCTACTTCTTTCTTTTCCCCTTTTCCTACCCTTTCCTTGAACAATCTTAGTAGCTAATCATGTATCTGAGAGAGACAGTGGGAGAGAATGTGTGTGTGTGTGTGTGTGTGTGTGTGTGTGTGAGAGAGAGAGAGAGAGAGAGAGAGAGAGAGAGAGAGAGAGAGAGAGAGAGAATGTGACAGCATTTTGGGAACTCCTCCCTGTAAGGATATTTTCCCTTACCCCTTGAGATCCACACTCTGAGCCTCCTCTTCTCTTTAGGAATATCCATCAAAATGACTTTAAAAAAAAAGACATTCCCCCTTCCCACCAGAAGAATCTGCACAAACATGGCAGCATTTTTACTTGTTTAATGAGCTTAAGACATTACATGAGGAAAGAAGCCTTTCGGACTCCTGTATTTTTATTTACCAACCCTAAACTGACACAAAAAAGAAAAGAAAAAGAAAAAAAGAATGAAAAAATCCCTCACATAACAGGCCTTTTCTAAAGAAAAAGGAAAATCCGCTGTAAAATTAGACCGCTGCATGTTTCAAAATGCAATGCAATGACCATGAATGAAGATTCATTTTAAAATACAAACAAACAACAACAAGAAAAATGCTCTTTTTCTACCCTACCCCAAACCCTGAACTGGAATCCAAAAAGACAGAGGAAGCAACCAACATCACCATTCTATTGCTTTGACACCTTACATGGGTGAATTGGTGGCATTCACTAAGCTAATAGGGACGTTTATATCGAGCAACATTTCTGTATATATTGTTGAATTTTAGTTGTATATATACTTTGTATGTTTTTGTCTTCTTTCATATATGGAGTAAAAGCCACAAAGCGCTCTGAGTGTCCTGTATATTTCTCTGTTTGTCTCTGTCTCTCTCCCCTTCCCTCCTCCCTCTCATTATATTTTCTAAATAATTCCTATTTCCTAATATGGGAAGCCCTAAATACAAATATCAAATGCTTGTAAAGATGTCAGTCTACACTACTAGCCTTTGTCTTTAATATTACTTTAATATTAACCATAGATGTTTTCTGAGCTTCCTTTCAATATTGAATTTTTATTGTAATATCCACACATTTATATGTTTAAACACTAGAATGATCTAGCCTCACATTAACCTCTAGATAGCAGGTAGTTTCTATTGCTGAACTGAGATGGTCCTTTTCCCTTTTCCCAGCCCCAAAACAATACAGCTGTATTTGTCTTTGGAAGCAGTTTTTTTTTTCCTTTAGCATAAAAAGAGGAAAGAGATTTAAAAACAGAAAACAAGCAAAATGAACAATTTCTGCCTCCTCACTATTTGAAACCCATCACAAGCTAGCTAGATAGAAAAATGTCCTATCCTGGAAGAAACACATCCTTCCGATCTTGTGGAAAGCAAAGAAATAAAGAAAATGAAAAGTCCTTTCGTCATACAAGCAGGAAGCCCCATACTGTGAGAATTAATGGCTACAGACCTGGGCATCCTTCAAATTATGAACCCTGAAACCACTGAGCCATTTATCAGAAGTCAATAGAGATACTCAGAGTGCTCCATATAATGACAGCGACATACAGTTGTGCAAAAGGACAGTCACTATAATTAGACACAAAGCAAAGACTACTTACCAATATACCCGTTCCTTTTTTTGTTGAGCAACTTCCACGCTCAGTCAGTCTTCAGAATGGTTTAAAACCGATCAGTCTTGTCATTTTCTAGCATTCGCATTGTTACATTAGGAAAAATGTTTTCTTTTCTTTTTTCCCCCTTCCTACTGTGAAACTTTGGGTTCGTAGCTCCCCAGGATCAATTCTGAACAAAGCCTCCAGCTGCAGTGCCATCCAATTTGAAGCAGACATTGGGGACAATTTAAGGTTTTTATCCACAAGAAGGTTTTTTTCCATTCTCTTAAATGCAGCCATAATTAGAGTAATTTTTCATGTAGCCCGCTGATTACAGCGTTTTTACCGTCAAAGATAATTACCTGTAATTTTCTTCCACTTTTAATACTAAAAAGCCATCTTTATTTAGATTCAGGAACAGGAAAGGCGAAACAAAAGAGGGAAATTATTCTGTTATTCATACACAAATTGCAGAGACGTAGGACCTAAAATTGAAAATTAACCAAAATTATAATGCTGAAAAGAATAGAAGAGGCTGCAGAAGTACAGCTGGTAGTGGGGCTTTGCTGAATTATTCAAATTACGTTAGAGGGAAAGCTACCATACATCGAAACCAACACTATTTTTTTTAATGCACCAGATATATACCAAACCACTGTAAATGCATAGAATTCTGAAATCCAGCAAATGTATCACATGTATGTTTATATATTGGAGGTGTTGTGGATACATCTGTAGGATGTTTTCAATACCCTAACATGGACTTAATGGAACAAATTCAACCAAGTCCCCCTAGAACTGTCCTTGGAGCTGGGCTTCCTCTGGATCCTCTGAAACTTAAGGGTTAATATTTTCACTCTTTAGAATGTAGAATGTATTGACCCCACAGTAAACTGAGAGAGAGAGAGAGAGAGAGAGAGAGAGAGAGAGAGAGACTGGTAGGAGGGGTGTGGCAAAGGGCATAGCCCAGTTGCCCAGTCTGGTTGCTTTACTATACCTCCTCACATCCAAACTTCCTAGGAGGTTGCTGAGCTCCTGTTCCAAAGCCAAATTCCCACCTTATTCCCCTTCTTAAAACAGAGAGAGGGAGAGAAGGACAGAGAGAGACACACAGAGAGAACAATAGGTGTGAGATAAGGTGTGTAAGAGTGATGGAGACAATTTTTCCTAGGTACCAATAAGCATCTCATTATCCTTTGACATAACTTAGACCAAATGTTACAGCCACTGAAGAAAGGCTTTTCTGCAGTGGGAGGGAGAAAGCAAAAAATTACTCAGGTTTTTACATTTAACATTTCTTGCTGCTTATAATGCCCTCAGAATCAGGAAACAGCGTCATCTATAGATAGAACTTTACCATTCAGTGCTAGTCTTCCTTGGCCAGTCTTCCTAAACCAGATAGGTTCCATGGCTCTACATTTCCATTCTGCATCCCAGCCAATCATGCCCTTCCAACTCTAGGGTGGCAGCATTTGGGTTAAGAAGGTCATAAATTTCAAGATTTGAATGCTCCCCCTTCATGCCCCCCCCAATATACTTTGAGGGAAAGGCCCTTTACAGCAGACTTGACAGCAGAGTTTCAGATGCCAGTTGTTCTGTAGCTTTCCCACAACTAAAGGAAAGGTGCCTAAGGGGCTGAGAAGTGCAAAGATTCAAACTACACTTGCATTTGCAAAGGTCAGCATACCTGTAATTCTAAAGTAGTGTTGCACCTAAACTCATGGTCCCAACTAGATCTCAATGGATTCACCTAGGAGCAGTTGTGAATAAAAATTTCAAATAGATTTTTAACTTGGAACCTCAGGATCTCTCCACAACCTTACAGAAACCTGGTCCTTTCCTCAGTCTCCAGTCACAAGCTTCACTGAACATAACAGCCGCACCAAAGGCAATACAGACAAATCAGGCTCTCAACAATCCCATTCTCATGAAAATCATTTTACTCATCAGAACAACTCGTTAGCAGTAGAAGAAAGCAAACATATAAAGCAAAGTTGTAATCTACGTAATGTACAGCAACAAACATAGCTTGAAAAGTGTGAGAAGAGATAACATAGAGACTGTGCCTTGAAGTATTCAAGAAATAAAAACTTACCCCAGTGAATATCTCTTAAGCAATGACCAGAGTCTAGAAATCTATACTGAACCGAAGCACAGGAGAATATTTTTCTGAGTCTCAGGGCAGAAGCTCTTTCTCTATATTCTTGGTTGAGTGAGCACATCCAGGTGTGAAATTGTTTGCACACCCCAGCACCTCTTATATTGCCAGCAAAATTAGCTGTTATTACTGTCACTGTTTAGTGATGGTTAGCGTGATACAAAAAAAAAAAAAACTGCTGTAATCAAGACCTGGCGCATCTTTGCAAATTACAGATAATTGTAAACGTCCAGATTATGATAATAGCATCCTAATCCAGCCTGCAATATAATTATTACAGAGTGTTACATCTGAAACTGTCCAGTAGGGCTAATTCAGCCATTATTTAGACCCTATTTTTGCACTGCAAATGGGTTGCTGAGTTGAAAATGTACGATTGTAATTTCACGGGGCACTCAATGAGTAATGGTATAGGAAGAGGAAAATACAAAAGTGAAATGTGAACAGTAGCGATCAAATCAAACCCTGAAGGACAAAAGACTGTTTGATTCATATGGAAAAAGAAGAGCGGGAATTAAGAAAATAGCAAATCAGTGGTCTGAAGCATTACGTGTCCAAATCTTCAATAGAGCAGGGCTGATGTGTTTGCAAGGGCTGCTGTGTCTGCTGCTGCCTGGAGGCAGAATTTTTTTTTCTTCTTCCTTTTTTAACTCCCTGTCTTTCTCCTTACCCCCAAAGCATTTCCCTACTTTTAAAAAGTGTCCCTCCCACGATGTAAAGAACATTTGTCAGTTTCACCATTGTTTCCTCAAAGCTGCCTTAGAGTGCAGTCTGTCACTTGTTTATGAACATTTTCTTAAATGAATTTGCAATCTCTCTTGTCATCAGAGCAAAACGCCCTGGGTGCTTGTAAATGTTCCAGCATTCCATCTCTCTACTCACTTTCACAGTGGAAAAAAAAGCTATAGAGTGTCCTAGAGGATATCAGCAGAAAAAAAATGTATTAATTGTTGCTAATTAAATATAGCTAACTGGGAGGCTTTCTTCTCT